TTTACACTTCTCTTTGGCCTGAGACATAACATTAGTAGCATCTTTGTTCTCCTTGATTAATTAAGAAGACATAATATATATTTTTTTGAGAAACTTAATAGAAATAACAGAAAGAAAAAAAAAAGTTTCCAATGTTTACCTTTATAGCATGTCAAGAATACTTATTAGCCTTTGCCTTCTCTCTGGCCTCGTATATAACTTTAGTAGCATCTTTGCTAGAGAGAAAAATCTCTTGATATCTTTACTTCTTTGTGTGTTTGCAAGTAGTTTTGGTCTTAGTTCTTGAGAAAATACGACATCTAGATGCTTACAAAGAGATATTGACAAGATTAAGATAGACATGTCATACAAGTTTTTTTGGGTATGAAACATAATATTATACTGGCCATTAATATCTTGCATCCTAGGAGCACCAAATTATGAACAAAATCTTCAGAGATTATACAGCTAAAGAAACCATATTCCGATTATCTAACAAATTGTAAACATACGTTTAACTGTAAATTCGTCATCATGTGTAGCCACAAGTTTGACGCAGCCAATTAGTTTGTCAATGGGAAATTAGACAGGTGTCTTAGGAAGGGAGGCTCCATGGGACCAACTTCTTCAGTGTTAATTACCAGCACAAATTTGTCAATTGATATAACAAAATACGCTGAATAAAATAGGATAAACAAAGTCACATAATTATAAACACAATCACGAATTAGGTTTGTCATAGGAAATGTGTTAAATACATATGTGACCGAGCATGATAGTCGAAGTTCGGTAAAACGTCTCCAAAATAATTCTATCTTTCATGGATAAGTAAACACTTTTGTACACGTTTTGCTCACTAATTTACTTTCCCATATTCATTGATACTAAAAATCATAATAGCAAGATATGGTTATAGGAAACCCCAAATCAAATCCAAAACTTTCAAACCCTAAATCAAAATTTCCGCTAATCACACACTCGGAAACCCAATTAACTAGCCGGATCCAAGAATGAAAACTTGAGGACAAAAGGGAAGAAGCGAAACTTACTCTTGAGCCATTGCAATTTTTGGTTTGAGAAAGGAGGGAGAAATTCACCTAGCCAATTTCTAAGCTTAAAGCAATTCACTAGCAATTCACCTAGCAACTCTGAATCAGACCCAAGCTTCTTCCCCTTTTCAAGGGCTCAGAATCAGATCTAGCAACTTGAATCAGACCTAGCATCAATGCATTGTTTGTACTACACCAAATATAAATGAGTTACTTTCTCAACAAAAAAAGGAAAAAAAAGTGAGCAGTATATATATGATGATCATACATTTTCCATTGCCATATAAGCAGAAACTGAGTCCAATACGTATGTTACATTATCATCATCTAGATGCACTGCATTTGCAAAATGTTCCCTAGCAGATTCAAACTCGTTCCTCGCAAAGGCAGCGTATCCAAAGGCTTGTTCTTTTTCTGCTATCTCTTTTTCCGATATCCTCTGAATATTTTCAACATCCATATTTTCTTCAAATCCACAAGACATCAGACTAGGAGTGAAACGAACTGCACTGATTATCTTTCATTCAGAGAAATCATAACTTCCTTGTAAGGTCTATTGATAAGCTAACAATTATTAATCCTCTATATATTAATAAAGAAACATTCTTAGATCATTTTGCTTAGGTGTTACACCATAATTTTTCTTAATATTTTTGATTTAGTTAATTCTATATTGTTTCATTATCTACTAAATCAACATTTTTGGGAAATAGAATAGTAAATGATTTAGTATTTCATTTGCCAAGCAATCTATTAATTTAAGAATTTTCCATTAACCATCTACTATTTTATTTTCCAAAAACTCTCTTAATCTAATTCCAATTATCAAACATTGTACTTAGTAAAATCGACACTTATCAATACTAATGTTGGAGCAACTATTCACTTACCATTAGGGGCCAGATTAATACTGGCCCAGTGCTAAAAAATAATTTTTACCTTTTTACGAACTTGTTAAGAATTAAATCGACCAATACTATATATTTTGTCCAGAAAAACCCTAATCCGATGTATGTTCCAGCATTTTGGGATATGAGAAACGACGGTTAGCCGTCTAATACCGCTGGCGGGATGGTTCTTGACAGAATAACAAATGCACTTTCGCAGATCGGGATCAACCAACATGTCCGTCTTTATGCTGTGATCGCTCATCATACCGAGATGAAGATTGGAGATCAGCAAGTTTTCATGAACGGCAACAATCCAGCAATCACTTTTGTTGAGACCAATGCAAATGATATTATTGATTAGATTCTTGAGCAGGTTGTTGACACCCACATTAATAATGATTTTCTCACCCCGACGGCCAGCAAACGCACGCTAGGTAAAACTTTACCAGGCTGCGTTCAACAAGTCAGATCTACCACCGACAGATCTACCATTGGCACCAACAGTGGTGGTGATTACAGGGGATTCAGACTATTTGTTTGTTCTGAGGAGGTTGAAAAACCTTAGTTGTAGAGTAATCATGATCACACTGCTCGTGACTACCGTGCCCAATGTTTCAAAAAAAATTGCGAGTCATGTAACAATGTTTGGTAACGTCGTATGGAGTGGAATCTGGAGAGTAAATGCACCACTTAAACTCATATAGATGAAACATCTACATGTACAATTTTTTGCAAGAGTTTTAGAAGTA